CAAGGAACCCCATAAGCTTCCTCCCCAAAATACCTTTCCACACAACCACACGGTCACACTGTCACACTCATACACGTTTTTTGATACGCTAAAATCAAGTTAGAAGCAAAAACAAAAATATATATACATATATGATATCTACACACTTATATATAAATATATATTATATATAAAGTAAAAGGAAGAAAAAAAAACTAATAGCAGGACATTGGAAACCTAAAAAAGCTTCAAAAGTTGTAAACAATTTTTTTCGGTATAAGCTCAAACACACACTAAGACACCTACACTGAGAGAAACTCACACATATACAGAGAAAGAAAATAGGTTAGTATTGAAGCTGAACATTTAGGCTGAAGCACTGAGAGAAAATACTTGTTAATTCTAGAGAGGACTTCTAGGCAGTAAAGCTTACAACCGGCTTATTTTACATTTGTCAGATCAGAGCTAGCTGAGGCTTACAAACAAATACACTGGAAAAAAGCTGAAACAATTTTTTCGAAAAAGGGAAAAAAAACACAAAAAGAAAACGTCAGAAAGGTAAAAGATGAAAAAGCAAGAAAAAAATGAGAGAAAAACAACACTGTAGTGCCTACTCCCCTTAAAAAAAAAAAAAAAAAAAAACAAAACAAAAAACAGAATAAAAATAAAATAAAAATGAAAAACCAAAAAAAAATATATATATATATACAATACATATATACATTATACATACTAAAAATAATATTTTATAAAAATGCGAAAAGGACACAAAAAAAAGAAGAAAAAAAAACAAGAACACCAAGGAAGGAAGTCAAAATGGAAATTGCGGTTTTTTTGATAGTTATTTTTTTAGTGAGCAATGGGAGGCATTGAGATCTATATATACATATATAAAAACTAAATATACATACATTAGTATCACACACACACACACACTCCAAGACAAACACACCCACACTCACCTAAACATACGATCATTCTTAAAGCATGTAAAGAAAAAAAGAAACTAGTTTCTAAAAATGAAGGCAGAAGGAAAATACTAAAAAGGACAACTATTAGCGGGCTTCGGCCACACCATTTTTAGCCACAAACACACTTACACACACACACACAACCAAATCGACAAAGTAGAAACAACAACAAAGTAGTTTTGCATATCCAAAAAAAAAAAAAAAAAAATGGAGAGGTTAGAAAAGAAAGAAGGACACTTACTCGAAAAAAAAACACAATTTATCAAAAAAAGAAGAAAAACAAAAAATTAAAACTAGTTTTTAGTAAGCAGAAGTAATAACTATTTTCACAGAAAAAGAACAAGAAAAGAAATCAATGCATAAGCATATTTAATAAATTCTCACAAGAAGACAAGACAATTTTTAACCTTCCCGATCACCAGGATAACCAGGATAAGCAAGAAAATAACATTCATTTGTTTTTTTGAATTGAAAATTCAAGAATACCAAGAAAAGCTGAAAAACAAAACACAAAAAAGGGTAGCAAAATAATAGTTTTAGTAATGACGGTTGAGAAAATTTTTTAAGTTCCCTACTTGAGGCTCATTCAATAAATAATTTTACATACTTTTTAATACAATTATTATTTTGTTTGTTTATAGACACACGTTTTTTTTTTAAATACAATATATACTTTCTCCTAAGTTATTGAAACCCAGAGAATTCGTTCAAGGATATGGCAAAGGAACTAAGACAAGACACATTCCAAAAAAAGATAAAGAATTGCATTCCAATATCCGAAAATGGAGTTTTCTCTTGGGCTTTCACCAAAAAAAGGAACTGCCTAACGAGAGGGTTAATAATCAGATTAAGAGGCGGTTGAAAAAATATACATATACATACAAGAATAGAAACATCATGTTCAGAACAAACCGAAACCGAAATCCAATAACTGAAACAAAAAAAAAAAACAAAAACAAAATAAAAATGAACAAATAGCTGCAATACGTTATGATTACGTCAATATGTTCCTAACAATATAGACATACAAGATACATAAATAATTTATATAAATATATATACTTAACTAACTGTAAAACACCACACACACACACACACACATACAATACACTGACACAAAAGAATGAGAAAAAAAAAAGAATTATACAATAATTAATTTTTAAGGCTGCGGCCGTCAAGAATCCACTAAGAGAAGCAGCAGCAGCAACTAACTAACTTGAACTAAATCTTCAAATTTCGAAATATGCTTGAATCGATTTAGTTTTAGCTTTGATTTCGGATTATCGAATAAACACAAAACAAAAAGACAATTTTCATTATCCGTAGACTAAGTTTTCCAATTATTTATTGAGCGATATAACCCTAAAGAAATTAAAATTTATGCAAAAATATATATAAATGCATATATAGAACTATAAACTGCAATTTAAGTTCCAATCGATACAATTTAGTTTCCAATTATTTTTTTTATTATTATTATTATTATTATTACTATTATTATTATTATTATTGATTACAGTCGAGATAAGATTTTGAAAGCAACAAGAAAGCGAAATAAAAGTTTATAAAAACCATCTCACTCTCATGTACATTCCTTAAAATGCATCATTTTCCAACACTCACCCTCATACAGCGCACCCGGAACCGGAACTGGAGCCAGTTCGTACACAACTGTACTTTGTACTTTATATGCAAGAGAGAGCTTGACGGGAACTCAACAGATATATACATATATGTTTATATATCTATGGAAAATGCCCAAGAAAACAATTATTACTAAAAATCGGAAGGTTAAAAATATACGCTAACTATATATATTTTTTTTCGTAGTTTCGGAACGAAAACTATAAAAGAAAACCAAAAGCACTGACAAGAAAAAGACACTTCAATTTCGAGTCGACTCATTTTTTGAGTTGAACCAATGCTGAAAATAATGAACAATTTCGAGAATAAAATACAAAATAAACAGCTTATCAGGCACCAAAAATAAGTAAAAACTAAAAAAAAAAGAATACACACAAATAGAAAGCAATCAGTAAAAATATTTTAGAAGGAAAAGGAATTCAATTACTTACACTCACAGTCGAGGAAGCAAAAGTCAACCCAAACATATTTTAGGAAATCAAAAAAAAAAAAAGAAAATTCCCAAAAGGTCACACACACACCCACACACACACAGAACCCCAATGAACAACAAATTTATATAAAAAATTATTACAAAACAATAAAAAGTAATGATGGGAAAAATATTTAAGCAAAGCAAGGCATATCATAGTTTATAACAAAACAAAAAACCAAAAAAAAAATAAAAATAAAAATAAACAGAACAAAAAATTTCCAAATAAAAACCAAGCGATATATACTGTCTGGCCTCCAATAGCAGAAGATATTTGATTTGTAATCCAAAAGAAAAACTCAAGAAAGTGAATGAGAAGCAATGAGTAAGGCTAACAGTAAAAGGAGAACGAGAAAAATAAAGTAAAACGGCCACAACCTATAGGATCAGCTGAAGGATCAGTCATATATAGCTAGCTATATAGTCTATGCCTAATAAACATTTCTAGTAGTCGAGCGAGCAAAAAAAAAAAGCAAAAACAAAATAACTTTAAAAGAACTTCAAGAACTTGTACACACACACACACACACTAACACTCATACACTAACACTTTCACACACACACACACGCATACACACACAAACGAACAAGAAGAGTAAAGAATGAAACAAAAAGAATGATAGAAGTAGCTGGAAAAGCTGAAAAACGGAAAACAAAGTGAAGAAAAGAAAATGAAATAAAATTCTATATAAATAAAAATATTGAAAAAAAAAACAGTTATCTTTTTTTGAAGAGTTTTATTTGTAGGTTATTGTAGGTTTCTGGAGGGTGCTGGGGTGCTGAAAGGGGGTGCTGAAGAGTAGGCCACAAAAAAGGAATATTCTTTTTTTTGACATTTATTTTATCACTTTAAGCTTACATTTTAGATTAAAACAAGTTTAAAATTTGCACATTTTTTTTTTCAGTGTAATTCGAATATTTTCGAAAACATTTAACAAAATTTGTTTGTTTTAATTGTTATGTTTCTTTACAAAGGGGTTTTTAACGGTTTCTCTTTTTTAATAATTTTTTAATAATAATATCTTAACTTTCATCTTAGCAAAAAAATATATGGTTGAATTTATATCTTTATATATTTAAAATATTGATGGGGTATAAGTACTGAAAAATAGGCAATCAAAACTGCTTAACAAGATTTTTATTTTTAATAATTTTTTTTAGAAAAATACTGCAAAGATATAGTTATCTTCTTGAAATTTATAATTGTAGGTTAAGTTACTTGCTCAAGAGAGTAGGCCCTTAAAAGTAGGCAACAATAATGTGTATATTTTTTTTTACATTTCTTTAAATATTATCTAAATTTTCATCTTAGCTAAGACTAGTCTTAACCTTTCTCTGTGTGATCTTTAATATATTTTCTGGAATCTCAAAGTCTCATACAACCGTAAGCTCTAGCTTAGCCCTAAGTAACCCCAGTGTTTCCACTAAGTGTTCTGAAACTTGTGCCACGTAAGTATTACCAATCTTTCTATAATTCTCAACACTCCTTCAGCCGCTTCTTCTCTGTCGACTTTTCATTTTCTGAATATATGTGTGTGAGTTTTGTATAGTTTGCCGAGTCTGCCGGATATATATGCCTAGATGTTGATCTTTGTGTCAGTGTTGGCTTGCCTCGTGTTCAGTTCTGCCTTGCATGTGTTTTTCCTTTTTTTTTTCTAGGATTTTTTTTATGATCCCCCCCTAGATCCCCCAGCGACCCTGCCATACCTAGAGCATAGATTTATTTTCTCACAGTCCAGAAGCCATAAACTAGGTTTAGCCGCCCGCCACCTTAGCAACCCATTTATGAACAAAATTAAGAGATATACTTGTACGAGTCCCGATCTCTGGCCCAAAAAATGAAAAATTAATCAAGAAATTCAAGCACCTTTTCAGGAATTTGAGAAAATCTGAAAATAAAATTATTAAATGGAACTATTTCTGAATCTTGACAGCTTCTGCGGAACTTCAGCTCCCCGATGAGCGCCATGGCGGCCAGCAGGTGCCCCACGCCCTTCGCCTTCCCCTTCACGCCCCTGGGCCTGAGCCTCTTCGACATCGATCCGTCCAGAATACTCAGCCTTCTCCACCACCAGACCTGGCTGGCCGAAGAGGCCCTCCGGTAAGTCACGGAAGAAGCTACCAAATCTATTGGATAATCCATTTCCCTTCTCCAAATGCTTTAATTCAGGACCCGCGGCTTGCTGGCAGCGCCAAAGGACTTTCCCCACCGCTTCACCACCCTGAGCGACCTGCTGACCAAGGACTTTCAGCCGGGACAGCCCAACACGACCGCCACGGCCACCGCCACCACAGCCACCTCCTCGTCCTCGTCGGCGTCCGCATCCGCCGGAAATCCGGCCGGGAAGCAGCCCACGGGATCGTTCAACCTGAGATACCCCACCCCGACGGCCTTCTATCAGCGCGAGCCGTCCAAGGTGGCCAAGTCCTCGCCGTCGCCCCAGCAGATGGCTACCAGCTCCACCACCACGGGCCTCTCGAACGATTCTGGCGAGGACTCCTGCAAGCGGAGCTCCGCTGACAGTGACGAGGTGACCATCGTAGAGCTGCCCAGCGAACGCAGTGCCCAGCTCTACAAGGAGTCCCTGGAGCAGCTGCTGCAGCGCCAGCGACGAACCCCCATTCTGGGAGGCGCCACAGGCGCCGGGTCGGTCATCGTGGACGCCACCGGCCTGCGGCAGTACACCCAGCTTCTGTTGGCCTCGGGCCAGGCGGAGGCCAAGGAGAAGGGCACCTCCTCCTCGTCCAGCTCCTCCACGCCCCCCCTGATGAACCACCAGCACCTCAGCCAGATGCTGAAGAGCCCCTCGGACACCTGCTCCTCGCTCTTCAGCTCTGGCGGCGGAGGTGGCGGAGGCAGTTCCACTGGGGAAACCATCGAGGAGGAGACCCGCTGCGTGGTGTGCAACGCCCATTTCCCGAACGTTTGGCTGCTGGAGCAGCACGCCGCTCTGCAACATCCCCACGTGGGGCCCGGCGAGGAGAAGCCCTTCATCTGCGAGCAGTGCGGGCAGTCGTACCGCTACCGGAGCGCCTACGCCAAGCACAAGGAGCAGAACCACCGAGCCAGGCTGCCGGCCGACAAGCTCTTCACCTGCGACGTCTGCGGGATGCAGTTCCGCTACCTCAAGAGCTTCAAGAAGCATCGCCTCAACCACGCCCTGGAGCGTCTGCACGGCAAGAAGAGTGTGGGCGTCGGCGTCAACGTGGGTCTGGGCCGCTCCCTGACGGTGGCTGCTCCCACTTCCGTCTCCGTGTCCGCCTCCGCCTCGGGCGGGTCGTCGGTCACTTCGGTGGACCAGGACGTGGTCACCAGCTCGCAGGAGCCGATGTTGGCCGACGAGGGCGAGGACTTGCGGGTGAACGTGAAGAGGGAGGGCACCACCAACATTCCCACCACCAACTCGGAGACGGGGGAGCAGTCCTCCCGCGAGTCCCGAGGCACAGCCGACAGCGAGGAGCACGAGCAGGACAACACTGTGGACTCGGCCGGCATCACGATGCTCTACCAGGACAACAACTCCTCCGCCTCGGCCTCCACCAGCGCCACCGAGCCGAACATAAGCAGCTCCGATGGCATTCATAGTACAAACAAGCGGGTGAGTAGACTTTTTTTTTTAGCATCTGGGGGTCTGGAATTATTTTTAATAAAGGTTTAAGTTTATTTTAAAACAAAATCACTAAAGAGACTTTGAAATAGTGGCAGGATAATGGCAAAGATAGAGCCTCCTCTAGAAGTCATAAGAGCCCTACCATGACTTCTAATAATTTTTTGAGAGATATTCAAAAAAATCAACAAAATAGAGGCCCAAGATTAATAGAGAACTGATCTATAATGGTTTGGATTAAAAATTTTAAAAAATAGACTCATATTTGTGGGCATATGGGGTGTACCTCCATGCCAAAAAAAATGGAAAACAAATTTAAAAAGTCTCTTGAATTAAAATTAGTTTTAGAGACTTAACTATTAATCTCTTAACTACTACTAATGACTAATGCCTCCGTAAGGGCAGTGGCGGATTTAACAGGTGGGCAAAGGCGCGATTGCCCACTGGGCCCCCCCGACGAAAGGCTTTCAGGGCCCCTCGTGCTGAAAGTTACACCTTCGATTTCTTTTCCACAAATCTGCATCAAAATCTGGAAACAAAATATTTTTAAGATTTTTTGTCAAATTTTCTGGGCTGTTCCTTCAAAATGTGCAAAATGCATGGGGAGCCCCATATGACCCACTGCGTAGGCCATATCTTAGGAAATATTCATCCGATTCTTGAACGGAATACCTTAAACGATTTGTGGATCGATTTTTCATAAATCTGCATCAAAATCTGGAAACAAAATATTTTTAAGATTTTTTGTCAAATTTTCTGGGCTGTCCCCTTCAAAATGTGCAGAATGCATGGGGAGCCCCATATGACCCACTGCGAAGGCCATATCTTAGGAAATATTCATCCGATTCTTGAACGGAATACCTTAAACGATTTGTGGATCGATTCTCCATAAATCTGCATCAAAATCTGGGAACAAAATATTTTTAAGATTTTTTGTCAAATTTTCTGGGCTGTCCCCTTCAAAATGTGCAGAATGCATGGGGAGCCCCATATGACCCACTGCGAAGGCCATATCTTAGGAAATATTCATCCGATTCTTGAACGGAATACCTTAAACGATTTGTGGATCGATTCTCCATAAATCTGCATCAAAATCTGGGAACAAAATATTTTTAAGATTTGTTGTCAAATTTTTTGGGCTGTACCCTTCAAAATACCCTTCAATGTACCCTGAAAAACTTTTTCCCACTGGGCTTTTTTCCGCCACTGCTTAAGTTCTTAAGTTGAGCCCATAACTTTGGTTTATTCGGTTTTTTTTTTTAAATTTTCTGTAATATTAATTTGTAAGTGGGTTTAAAAGAGTATGTATTATTAAATCTAGTAATTATATATTGGATTATTTATATTTGGCTTTTTTTTTTGGAATATTTATTTATTGGTATTTTTGAAATATTTTTAATTTATTTAAGTCTTAACATTGTTGTCAAGACACCAAGACAACATTGTCCTAACAAGACAATGGGGCGTATACATAATTTTTTAGATGAAAACATTTCATAGTATATTACGTATACGTACTAATGTAATAATATTAAAAATAAATAGCCAATATATGTATATTAAAATAAAATGTTAAAAATAAATCATATTAATTGTGATTCTTCAACCTCTAGGCCCGCCTGCACCACTTGGAAACGGATCCCTCCTACCCCCACCAGCAGCACCACCAACATCCACACCAACACCCACACCACCACCACCATCACCACCATGGGCAGCAACAGCCGCACCACCACAGCCAGCCCGGCCAGCTGCCGCCGCATCTGGGGCACGTGGCACTGCCATTGGCCGCCACCTCGGGCGCCGGGCCGTCGTCCTCCTCAGCGGCCGCCGCAGCCGCTGTTGTGGCCGCAGCCGCTGCCAACTCCGGAGGAAGTACGTCTGGAGGCGGAGCAACCGGCGGCGGAGGCGGTGGCGCCACGGGACCAAACTCAGGCGGCATCAGCTCCCTCAGCTCGCTGACGTCGCTGATCAACGCCGAGCGGATACCGAACGAGCAGTTCCTGGGCCTGAATCCGCAGGAGGCCTCAATACTCAACTTTTTGCGGGTCGATGCCGCCGAAAGGCAGCGCGACAAGAGGTGAGTCCTTAAATATATGCTTTGATTAAATAATTAACTTTCGTTTTTTAAGGCCCGCAACTTCGCGTTTCGCCTGTCCCTTTTGTGGCAAGTGCGTCCGCTCCAAGGAGAACCTCAAGTTGCACGTCCGCAAGCACACCGGCGAACGGCCGTTCGTGTGCCTCTTTTGCGGCCGGGCCTTCGGTGGCAAGTCGGACCTGACCCGCCACCTTAGGATCCACACCGGGGAGCGGCCATACCACTGCGAGTCCTGCGGCAAGTGCTTCGCCCGGGCGGACTACCTCTCGAAGCACCTCACCACCCACATTCACAACGCCCCGCGCTGAGATGAGGCGCGTAGGAGGCGGCTCCTACGCAGATAAGGAACCGGCTTCAGGATCAAAAACTAATCTATTAAAACCTAAAATTATGAGATATCTGCGATTCTAGATTCGATGTAAACTTTAAAAATTATCGCAGTAGTTGGAACTATTTTTTTTTTTTTGTGTGGTGCAAGCTAGAGAAGAAAAAAAAAACTAAATTACGGGCAACTAATTAGCACGGGTATTAAAGTGTTTAAGAAGAATATACACCTAACTCTCTTAAAATATAAAAAAAAAAAAGAAAAAACAAAAACTATGTGTGTGTAAGGACTAAACAATTATAATTATCGTAGCACAAAATGAATTTTTTTTTTTTTTGTAAAATTATACTAATTAAGTGCAGATTCGATGATGAATAATTTAAAAAAATGAATGAAAAACTGACCGAGAACAGCCACAAAACCGAAATAGCAATAAACAAGATAGTCTGTATTTTTTACCGAAAGGATGAGGACGAGGAGAATATCTGCCGTTTATATACACAATAGATAAAGTATATATGTATATAATTTTACACCGATCTATAGACGCTAAACTAGCAACAATTTGTACAAAAACAAGCGAGAGGAAACTAACTAGCAAAGAACTATATGAAAAATGCAATAACTGAACGAACTCTGTTACCTACCTACAGGAAAGAAACAAAACAATAAACTAGAAACGCAACTTTAGTTAATTCAAAAAACAAAAGGGGTAGATGGTCACACTAAACCGGACACCGGACACTTGAAAACTGTACTAGCTGCAAGCATTATTTATTCTTCGGTTGACCGATCTACAAGACATATGTTCAGGATGGATGAGTTAATAGGCGTTATAGGTATTTGTAGAGCTAGGAGATACGAATAGGATCTACCACCGTCAATAGTTTAATTTATATACAAAGCAAAGCAAACGCAAATCAAAACTAAACTTACATAGCAACAATTAACAATTAACAATAGCAATTACAACTGCAAACTGCAAACTGCAACTACAACAACACAAAACTAACTGTGATCACAAACAACAACAAACAATTGAAGTTTTAAAACATAAAACATAAAACCACAAGAAAGCATAGTAAGTAACGATGGCAACCCTGGCAAAGCAAGAGAAAACATGAAAAACAATAGAGGATTTGTTTGAATTCGCCCGCTGGATAAACGAAATGTGCAATTAAACAATAAAAAAAGCCACAAAACCACAAATAGAAACAGAAACTAATTTCTCAAATAGAATTTGTATGCTTATTTCGACTTTTTTATGAAAAAAAAAACCAAAACATCAAACACACACACGACGAAATCAAGTGGAGAAAGTGACAAAAGCGTTGAACCAAGAACATCGAATTAAATTTTAAATGTAAATGTAAAAAAAAAAAACAAAATACTACGTAGAATTCACGGGGATTTTTTTGTATTAAACTAAATGTCTAATAATTGCCGTACCAAAAAAAAAAACAAAACAAAACAAACAATGTTAAGTGGACAGTAAAGCCCATTAAAATGAGAACAAATCAAAGTAAAAAGTGGTAGAAGTAAAGTAAATGAAAACTTTCACTGTGCCAAAAAGTTTCAAGTACCTCATAATTTAACTAAATATTAAAGAAACGGAAAGAAAGTAAACAAAACAAACAAAAAACGGAGGAAACCCGATGAAACCGATTAACGATAACACCGATATACAGCCCACACATGCAGTCCATAGACCACAAGTCCACAACCCGACCCGATCCACAACCATAATACCCACAACAATATCCCGTAACGAAATGAGTCTAGACAGGAATCTGTCACAAGCGTATAATTATATAGAAGCTAAAAGCTGAAAAAAAATATAACCGGAGAAGGCTAGAAAATAGTTAGTTACTTAGATAGAGATAGCCAGATAGCCAGGGCGATAGGGAGAGAGAGATAGCGAGGAAGCGCATTGAAGTTCGAACCACCATTTTCAAATATTTCTTCGTTTTTTTTTTTTTGTAATTTATTTATGCAAAAAAATAACAAAACAAAACACAATTCTGCCTAAAATTTTGTATTTTCTCAACAACAAACTTAAGTGTTCAATTGTAGCGAATATATATTTGCATAGGAATATATATATGTTATGTGATAGTTTAACAAAAAAAAGAAAGAAAAATGCACCGTTTGAATTATGCTTTTCGAGCGCCAAACTACATACTACATACTATACTTTTTATACCCTTGCAGAGGGTATTATAATTTTGGTCAAAAGTGTGCAACGCAGTGAAGGAGACATCTCCGACCCTATAAAGTATATATATTCTTGATCAGGATCACCTCCTGAGTTGATATGAGCATGTCCGTCTGTCCGTCTGTCCGTCTGTCCGTCTGTCCGTCTGTCTGTCCGTCTGTCTGTCCGTCTGTCTGTTTCTACGCAAACTAGTCTCTCAGTTTTAAAGCTATCGTCTTGAAACTTTGCACACAGCCTTCTTTCCTTTGCACGCAGTATATAAGTCGGAACGGCCCGGATCGGCCGACTATATCCTATAGCTGCCATATAACTGATTGATCGGAAATGGTATAACTTTGGTGTTTTTAGAGTTAGAGAGTTCAAATTTGACATGAGAGCTATTTTTGGCAAAATAATACGACATGCCAAATTTCGTAAGGATCGGCCGACTATATCCTATAGCTGCCATATAACTGAACGATCGGAAATGACCCAACTTTGACCCAACTCGTGTTTTTGAACATAGAAAGCTGGAACTTGGTACAGATTATATATTTGGTCAGTTGATCCGACCTACCAAATTTCATTAGGATCGGCCGACTATATCCTATAGCTGCCATATAACTGAACGATCGGAAATGGTACTTGGTAGAAATATCAACTTTCGTATTTTTGAAGATAGAAGTTTGGGATTTTTTTTAGATTTTGTATTGTAAAATATTGGATTATATATTCCTATTCCCATAAGGATCGGCCAACTATATCCGATGTTTGCGATATATATCCGGTTTTAACTGCAAGGGTATATAAACTTCGGCTCCGCCCGAAGTTAGCTTTCCTTTCTTGTTTTTGCCTAAAATCTAAAGTCTAAAATTACATCTATATATATTAGTTTTAATGAAAAAGACAAGCAAACCAATCAAACATTATTTTCTACATCAACTTCGATTGTGTGTCAGTATGTGAACCGTTTCAAAATCAGGGCTTTTAGCAAATGTTATAGTTATTAGTTTACCATTATTATTATTTTTATTTTTATTATTATTTGTACTTTGTTTAGCATTATTCTGATGTGAATTTCAATTGAGAATTAATTTTAGTCTGTAACCTTCGGGCTTTCGATTTCGATTTTCTTTACTTTATTTATTTCCTAACAAAACGCTACTGCAACAAACAAACAAACAACAACACTGCCTTTTGTAAACACAAACAAAACAAACAACAAAAATAATGCAAACACTGAAAAAAAAACGTACTATTTTGTAAGTTATTCTCTATATATTTTTCACAACTCTACTCTATGATTTTTTATGTAAAAACATCACAACAAAAATGCCGAAATATTTGGAGAAAACACAAACACTCTGTTTAATTTTTAATTTTCTTCATTTTTATTCTTCAACATCAACAAGCTGTGAGCTGTGTATGTGAATTATTAATTTTATATGTTTATAAATTATAATTATCTTAATGACAATCTAAAAACCTTTTTTTTGGAAACTATTATTTTGGAATTATTATTTGATAGTATTTATTAATAAAGTTTTTTGCAAAAGAACCCTCATCTGATTCTAAAATCCGTCGATTCGCAATCATCCGTCGATTTTATTTCGAAAGTTCCCCCTTTTAGTTTATAGTTGAAAAACGCGCCTTAAAAAAATTCTAGCAAACTAAGGTAAGAAAAATTCCAAAATCTAAACTGCAATCTTGAATAACTCGGATAATTTGGATAAAAAGTCTAAAGTTTAAGAAAACCCCCCGAAAGATAAGAGAAAAAAAAAACACTTGGAAAGCAATATTAACAAAATTAAACAAAAAATTTAAAGCTAACGTAATTTTTTCTTAGGTGTGTGTGTAAGTTAATGTTGATAAAAAAGGTAAAAATTAAATAAAAAAAATTACAAATTACTGACATCCAATTAATCACCATCAAAATTAAGGCGAAACATTAAATAGGAACTAAATGGATAGACATTTTTTTTGTGCTGATGCGAGAAGCTGATTGATTTTAAGCCAAAAATCGAAAAAAATATTGGAGGGATTCAAGACTCTTATTTCGTATATACATACATATACATTATATATATATATATATTACAAATTTACCTACACATTTATATATATACATACATGTAGGAGGAGGAGGAAGGGAATCGCAGGTCAGAGGTCAAAAGTAGTATGTTTTTTTTAAGGCATAAGGCATAAGGCACTTACTTACATGCAGGAAAATACGTGTAACAAAAAATTACATTACAAAATCCAACAACGAAAACTTTTGGCATTAAAAATTAATGCATTTTTAAATACAATATTTATTAAAGGCAAGCAGGACGACGAAGGACCTGCAAGCGGTCGAAATTTCAAAAAAAAGCTAATGAAAGAAAATGAATCCAAAATATTATATAGAATATATCTATATACAGATACATAAATGTACATGTGGTTTTCGGTGTCTATTACTTATATAAATAGATATATATACACTATATACATACATCATACTATATATATAAATATATATATATATACATGACGTGACGTGCATATTTTGAAAGAACCCACAAAGCAAAACCCAAGAATTATAAATGTTGTTCATTTGACTAATAAACGGAAGCAACTAATATATAATATATATATTATATATACTAACTAACGGTATTCCACCCCCACACGTACATAAACACACATAACTCACACCACCACAGGAGGCGTCGCCAGTCAGTGACTAAAATTCATTTAATCAAGAGCTTAAGAAGCTCAAGAATTATTTTAATTACAAAATAAATTAATTCATTTATTTTCCCATCCCACGTCACTGGCTCCGACATGCCTCCGAATCATTTAGCAAATACAAAAAATAAAATAATAAATTTTAACAAAATAAAAACTACGATTTCATGAAATTACGACAATTTCGAGGTTTCAATTGCAAAAAAAAGAGAAAAAATATACAAAAATATTAGGAATTCAAAGATGTTCTATACTCGGTTTACACTTGAATTTTTAAATGGAGACTCCCTTTGTTTCAACATTTTAACTTGGTCTTAAAATCAAATAATTGTTAACAGCAACTAACAACTAACTCATTGTATGTAAATACATTAAACGGCAACCAACACAACAAATATTTATAATGTAACAAATCCACAGAAAAAAAAAACTAAGGAAAACAAAAAGACGACATAAAGTGTAGTACATGCAATATATTTTTCGGTGTTAGGCGTCTTTTTGAGATTTTTACAGAACAAGTCCCTCAAACGAAAAAAAAAACCAAAAAAAAACCTATAAAGTAAAATATTTCATTGTTGATGTTGTGAGCAAAAAATAAGAAACAAAACCAGTAAGCAACTACTATAGTAAACTAATGCAAAACGTAAACTAAATTAAAATAAATTGTATTTATTTCTCCTACTCTCTCTAAACCAAAAAACAAGTCTCTCTCACCTAAGATCTAACCTTTAGCTGTCTAAAAAAAAAATATTTCTAGGAATCTACATAAGTCATACGATCCGAATCAAAATCAAAAATGTTTAAATCTTTTTTTTTTTTGAATATTAATAAAAATAAGCAAACTTTGGTGTCTAAAAATTATACGAAATACAAAAAAACACTTGAGATGCAACTACCGTTGGCATTTTTAGATCAAATTAAAAAATAAATAACAAGTCACAGCAAGAACAAAAAAATATTAAAGCGCAGGGGACGGTATTCGGAAAGTGGGAGGAAAATACTTAGCAATAATTCTGAAATGACCTCAATCAAATATTTTTTAAATTTTATATATTTTAATCGTGCAAAATGAAAACCTAAATGTGTAAATAAATCT